GCAAATTCGATAAATAATTAAAGGCAAACGTAATCATAACTGAGTACAAGTGTTAAACAGAAAAGTATGCAACGCAATGACGCTATACAAAAATGAAAAATGGCAATTTGCTTATTGGGTTAATCCCCTGAATTTGTTTATCAGTCCTATTTCTATTAGCCAGAGTAGCTACGATTTAAAATTTTTTACATTTTACTTAACAACAAACACACAGAGGCAATAAGCACAGATATTGAGATATTGAGATATTTAGTTACCTGGAAATAAGATTATTATTATTATAATTTTTTTTATTACAAGTTAATATTGGAAACTTATCAACTAATGTACTGGATAAAGCAAAAAACCAATCAATCTGTCACTGCACTATGCTGGGGGGAATGAATGGATTCTTCTCATGGTCAATATCATTACAAACTCTCTATTCAGAGAGAGATTGTGGTAGTTATGATTGGTAGGAATATGGATAAAGTTTCACAGGGCACTTGAACAAAACGGAAAGGTTAAACCTACTTACATTGTTTCGTTAGCGGATTTATTTAAAACACACTGGATTACACTGGCTTAAATTAAACTTAAAAGCCCAAACCCAATGTTAATATTAAAGTGAACAAACACCATAAGGAAAACCGATTAAAAGCTCAGAGGAATGTTTTTAAACATTAGTTAAAATAGTTATATTGTATTTTAATATATATTTTTTTAACTTTAATATTGGCAGAATGTACATCACATTGGTGTGTTCCTAAAATTCCTACTCACGAGAGTCAATGAAAGGAAACTTAAGCATGGTTCAGTCTATGGAAGGTCATGTCTAGCAATGGAATTTATTCTCAGCTCGCTGAGCTCTGTGAGATCCCACTATCTTTCCCCAAGTAGTCAAATGTTAGTTTCTTTTAATTGCTATAAGAGTTTTTTGTGTTTTCTTTGCTTTTGCTATTAACAATTTCTCTTCAGTCGTAACGTATATTGTCAAATCTGTTTAGATACGAATTCTTTTCATTTTTGTCACATAAGCGTGGCAGAGAGATTGCACTAAGGCTTTTCGGTGGGAATAATTTCTCTCAGTAGCGTAATTACACACACATTTTGCTTAATTTTGAGATGGTTAACCGTGGTTAAGAATAGTTAAGAATGCTTAACTTTTCCTTCGGGACTTTTCGGAAAGCAAAGTTTGCATAACTCATCTCCAAGCTTAATTCAAAGTCTTGCCTTACTTGATGATTACTATTTGTACCATTATATACTTGTTATATTAACTCAATAAAAGCGTTAAAAAATCTTCCGTCTACTTAGATAGTCTATGTTTTTTGTTTTTTATAAAATGAAACTTTTTTTTATTCGTACACACTTTCATCAAAGGCAGAACAAAATTTTAAAATTTTTCAAATGAACGTAACAACATACATAGTAAAAAAATTATCTTTAAAATCAGAAAAGAAAAACATTACTCTTTTTTCTTGGTAGTTGGGATGATTTGAGTAGATAAACGCATATATTCAATTAGATCACGGAAGCGAGATTTTTCTACACCTTTGGTAACGTTATGATTTAGTTGTATAGGATCCTGAACAATCATTGCTTTCTTTAACTCAATCATACGATCTGCGGGAGAACATTCCACGTAGTACGTATACCTGTCGTTATAAAATTTGTTATTTAATTGCGATCATAGGATTTAATGGTTCTTTCCTACCATGTTGGCATTTGCTTCTCCAACTCAACGATTTTTACTAATTTCCCTAGATATGGACAGACCACGTTGGTTTTAAAATCAAATTGTAGGTAAAATTCAAAGAAAAGTTTTAAATGCATTTGAACGTTCGTTGCTGTTGTAGGCACCTCCTCCATTTTTATTTCATTTAGAGTGCAAGAAACGAACGTTCCCAACCAAGCTGTTAAGAAATGTAATCGCGAACGTAAAAAAATTCGTCCACACTTTTAACTTTACTTACGACCGATGGAGATAGCTTTGTTGAAATCAATACGTTTCTGAAGAAATTCAACAGAGGGCACAACTTCTCTCATTTGTAGAAAATAAATTACCATTAATACGATACTGTAAGTAGAATAATCCTCATTTAAACCAGTTCGACGTAACCACCATTTCAAAAAAAGGCACATATGTCGTGCTGGAAGGTTTTTAAGAAGAAGTACTTGATAAATCCAAAATTTAACTAAACTAAATCCTACTCACCAATTGGTTGTATCTCAAAGATATGCTCTATTAGTTTAGTATTTAAAACCCCCAAGCTGTTCGAAAAACCAATATCGCATTCGATACCTGTAGAATCGTTGTAGGCTTTTATTATAGGCACACGTGCTTTGTCTACCTTTACCACAATTTTCCATATTTTTGGAACATTTTTCATGGCTTTAAATACTTTCTTAAGCTTTTCGATTGTGCCCTGTGAAGCTCGATTCTCAAAAATTTTAAATGTATCACCGATATCAAGAAAAATATCTACATCAGAATCTCGTTCTCCTATACCCGTCAACCTTGAACCGAAACGATATACCCGCAATGGCTCATTGGGAAATAATGGTTTCACCAGGCTCAATAATTGAGTTTCAATAACATCATATTCGGGTATTGATTTTAATTTATCGGCTATTAGTAAATGGTCCGTAAAAAATTTGTTCAGGTCCGCAGTTAGTAAACTTTTTGTTTCTAAAAGCAAGATTAGATATAATAAAATTCTATGTAAAAATGTTCCTAATACTTTTTGAAAGAGCGATTGGACGTTCTTTTTTTTTTTTTTTCAATGATTTTGGCGCGCCTTTATTTTTACATTTGGTTGCAACATGTTCAGCTGCTCGTTCAATAGACTTGCCCAAATCCGTTTTGCATTTGGAACAACGATAGATTTGCTCAATTCCAGCCATTTCTGCGCGCTCCACTAGTCTAGATTGTTTTGTGTCTACAATCTCTTGATTGTTTTGTTCCAAGAATTTCTCAATCGAAGTCACGACTTTATTTAAAGCATGGATAACGTTCTTATCTATATACTTGAAGTTTACACTCAATTTCTCAAACGTTTTCACAAACAAGTCGGCTTCTAAAGTAATGGGATTCAACTAGCGGTTATAGTTGAACAAAGGGAAATAAAATGTTTGCCATTAAATATAAATATAAAGTCAAAAATTCACACTCACATAATTTTGTACTTTTACTTCACCCATTTTTAAGACAGTAATCGATACAGATTAAACGAAATAGACAAATTAATGCACACAATTGTTAAAAAATAAAAAATATCAACGGCAAAACAGCAAAATGCAAAATGAAGTTAATTCCCCGATTTTATTTATCAACATAATAAAGTAGGGCTGCCAAACTTTAAGTTTTCTACTATCTATTATACTTAGAAGAAGCTGGCAACGCTGCACAATGTAACCGTATTGACAGCATCACACTTTTGCCTGACAAAAAGAATTATAATTTTTCCAAATAGCGTGAAAAAGTTCTTCTAATTTCTTTTTAAAAATTTGAGAAGTTTTTGTTAAAAAATGAGCTCAATGGCGACAGCCACAGATGGCGAGTCAAGTTCGCTGCAAACAGATTTAAATGCAACTCAACAAGCAGACGTAGAAAAAGTTACGGGTGGTGTAAATGGGAATGACCACACACATAATGAGAATGAGGAGGTTAATGAGAAAGATGACGCTTGGTAAGAAAATGTAACGAAAACGTTTTTGGAATAAAATAAAAGTAAATACTCTTGCAGGAATCATTCTCAAGGTCATGTGAAAATACTTAATGCCCCGCCAGCGTTTCGTGGACGAACTGGAGGTGCCTTCAATCGTGGAGGTGGTAGAACTGGTGCTGGGAGCAATTTCGGTGGATGGCAATTTGACCAAAACTGGCAAAATAGTAACGCGAATGCCTCAGTAACTAACAGTAATTCGGCAAAGTTGGAGCTTTGGGTGGAAACGAAAACTAAAGATGGCAAAGCCTACTATTATCATGCTTTGACACGTGAAACCACTTGGAATAAACCGGAAGGTGCAAATGTAAAGGTGATGACCCAAACTGAAGTTGAGGAAATTAACAAAAAACAACAGCAACTACAACAGCAGCAACAACAGCAGAATCAAGTCAATATGACATCTGCTCAAACTAACAGCGGGACTAATGATGATCCAACTAAAGACAAATCAGATACATTGCAAGTTGCAAAGGCGACAACGGAAAGTTTAACTTCGCAGCCACCGCCTAGCATGATGTCTCAGCCTCCACCCAATCAACAAAGTTTATCCCAACCTCCGCCTACTGTAGGCGTACCTACAGGGGCTGCTACACAACAGCCACCACCTACGATGCATCAACCGCCTCCCTTTTTCCCACCTAATATGCATCCTCCAAATTTTGCACCACCTTTCGGCATGCCACCTCCGGGTTATGGTGGTGGGTTTCCAGGAGCCACGCAAGCAGCAAATGCTCCGTGGGGCATGCCGTGGAACCAACATATGCATTCAATTCCTGTTCAGGAAAAACCGGCAAAAAATCTGATCATTAAACCAGGCGTCATCGATCCAGCTGTTATAGGTCGGGCTGCTGAATGGTCTGAACATCGAGCGCCAGATGGTCGTCCCT